GTAGAAGAAAGGGCTCCAGACTGCAACCTGCGCACTCAATCCCCAGGAAACCTAAGCTTCTTTCCTCGGGCTCAGAACACATTTTCTGACAAAGTAAAAATATCGCTGATATCAGAGTTACCTTCAGAAACCACTGACTCCCACAGATGTTATTAAAAAGGAAAGGGCCTATAATTAACAGGACGGTAATTCACCTGCAAAAAAAATTTCAAATAGAAACTTCTTTTTGCAGATGATAATAAATGACCTTTCAATATCAAGAGATCTCAAAGGGTTTTATGTCTATTAATTAGTCGTGCTCCTCTCCAGGGGAAGGTGTTCCTCTACCCTATCTGCAGTTTATCCACCTGCTTAACACTGAAGGGCTCAGCAGGAAAAAGTGCCTGCCCCAGCGTTACACAGAGATCTTCCTTTGTAATACAACAGCCATCCTCTGGATCCTGTAGGATTCATCTCAATAGACACCCAACATCTCAAAAGAAGGAAAAAGGAAGTCCATGATAATTATCCTTAACGATCTGTCCAAAACATGACAAGGAGACTCCCTAAAAACTCCATTAGGTCAAAATAGTACCTGTCACACCTACTAGGCACATCTGCATCCCAAGGGAAATGGACAGCAAAGGCTAACAATAGGATCCAAAACTGCAGGGAATAGGCAGCAAGTGGAACTTCAGTCTCACGCCAAACCAGTGCCTGAGCTGTCAACTGTAAAGAGAAAAGGGGATTTTTTTTTCTCTCTGTAGGTTTTGTTTCTGTAAATAGAAGCATCTGTCTTATCTCCCCAAATAGATGACAAGATCCATTAGTATTGGAGCCATCTAAGTTCTGGAGAAGCATAGGAAAATAATATACGTTTGATTGGTTAAGGGTCAGGAGATTCTCATTTGAAGCTCAGACTCCTTCACAGCACGTCATAAGGAAGTTACTTTGGTCTTACTCACTTTGGTCTATGTGGAAAGTTATTTCTCTCATTGGTGAAGGAGTAATCACCAGTCCTGTTCTAAAAGAGGCAACATAACATAGGGATTGCAAACACGGGCTTTGGAATCAGGAAGACATGGGTTCAAACCTCAGCTCAACCAGCTGCAGGCTGTGTGTCCTTGAGTGAGTTATTCTTCTCTGAGCCCTAGTGTCCTCGTTTGAAAAAATAAAAACAATACTCTCTGCCTCATGGAGTTGGTGTGGGAATTAAACAAGATAATAAGTTCCTTATAGATTTGGAATATTAGACTTTGTCAGGTGCACAGGATGCAGCTGGAGGCCATTATCCTAAGCAAATTAACACAGGAGCAGAAAACCAGATACCACATATTCTCACTTATATGTGCAAGCTAAACTTTGGGTACTCAGGGACATAATGATGACAACGATAGACACTGGGGACTACTAGAAGGAGGAAGAAGGGGAGAAAAGGCTGAAAAACTATTGGGTACTATTCTCACTATCTGGGCAATGGGATCATTCATATCCCAAAGCTCAACACCAAGCAGTATGCCCATGTAATAAACCCTCACATATACCCATGGAATACGCAATAAAAATTGAAATTATTTTAAGGAGATAATATATATAAAATGCTTAATGCAGAGCATAGCACACGTTAAGACTTCAATAAATTGTAGCTTAAAAGCATCTTGCCTTTGATAGCAAAGGTCACACTACAACGTGACTGCTTTTAAAGCAGCAAAACACATTGAAAAATAATTTTTAAAAATAGGGTACATCCTCATGCAATTTATAAATGTTAATGAGAAACAGAACACTCATAATTGCCTCCTCCATTTTCCACAGAGAAAGACTGAGAAGCACAAAGTTCTGAGGTCTTTATCGAATTTCTGAATAGAACCATGCTTAAATATTACCCCTAAAGCCGCTGCCAACCTTAAGATTGGCATCACAGAATCTCAGAATGCCAATGCCAAAAGGAAGCTCCAACCCTCTCCTTTTACAGATAAAGAAACAAAGGTCACATTTGGTGCTTCCTTCAAATGTGTTTTATTTTTAGCCCTTGTGGCTTCCCCATTCTTCCCTCTAGTCAACCCCTCTCTACCCTATCGATGACAGTAATACCTGTGAAGCAATTTGAACCACAGAGAAGGATCTCGTGTATCTCAGTGAGACTGAACTTTCAATCCCAGTGACACTGAAAGTTTTTAAGGACAAAGACTACATTTTATCTCAGTGCCCACAAAAGGTGCCCTCTGTATGCTCACAAATTGATTAACTGACTGGCTGATCAATACAGCTCTCTGCCCATTCTGTCAGAATGTATTCAGTGTTAAATGAATGCACACAGAGCAGATCCTACACTTAAGAACATAATCTTTCTCTCACTGCAGCATCAAACAAAGAGAATTGCCCATCTAACCAAAAGAAAGAGTTGTTAGGGAACTATGGAACATGCCAAGAGAAAGGGGGACACAGCATTGTTGTTCTGTGTCATGATGGCTATTGTCTTCACCCCCTGCCCATCCCACCCCCCGTCCTCTTATCTGCCTCTGGGACAACCAAATCTTCTCTAGGTCTTTTATTCTAACGGGTGAGAAGAGACCTAACTGAAGAGCACTAAGTAGAGATGCAAAAGTAGGAAGAGAATCTTAATGTGACCCAACTCTCAGAATTTATGAACAGACTTAAGAAAGTCCTGACCCATGCTGGGAGACCCCAGACAGCCAAGGATGCTAGCTGGAGGGAGGATAACAAGACTACAAAAGGCAGGAGGCCTGGGAAATGCTAGCAGAAGCACTGGATCTTAGGACCATGAGTAGCCCTTTAGAAGTTACATTTCATAAGCCGGGCGCGGTGGCTCACGCCTGTAATCCTAGCACTTTGGGAGGCCAAGGTGGGTGGATCACCTGAGGTCAGGAGTTCAAGACCAGCCTGGCGATCATGGTGAAACCCCATCTTAAAAAAATTTAAAAAAGAAAAAAAAAAAAAAAGAAGTTACATTTCTTCAGTGTACCACAGTTCTCTAGTTATCTAGATTTAAAGACTTGGAATCTCACCTAATGTTCCCACCTTCCCTGCCCCTCATCTAATCTGTCCCCAAATCCCATCCCTTTATTTCTGCTATTATCCGTCTACCTTCCTATAGTTTTGAACTACTGCATCCAGGTCAAAGCCCTTGTCACTTCTCACCCGGGCCATATAATAAAGTTCTAACTGATCTCACTGCTTATTACTCCTCTTTCAAATTCATCTTTTAGACCACAGTTTAGGGGGACCAGCTCAGTCCAGATTGCCCAGAACTATCCCACTGAAAATCTCATACCCTGGGAATCTCCTTAGTCCCAGACAAACTGAGACATCTGACCACCTGCAACAGAGCCATTAGATTCTTCTCTGAACGATGCTTTATGTCATTTTTCCTGACCAAAACTCTGATTCTCCTTTCTCGTTAAAATAAACCCTAAAGTAGGCCCCATATCTGCCTCAGAGAATGTCTCAGAAAGCATACTGGGCCAGAGTGAGGAAACAAATATACCAGGACTGGCTGTAGTCACAGTGCTGAAACCCTTGGCAAATACACTCAATTTAGATGAATCGCAGTTTCCTCATCTATAAAATTAAGAGGCAAAGACTAGATTTCCCTTTCAGTTCCAGAATTTTCTAAGTCTACTCTTCTAAATCCCTCTGCTCAAGCCAGACTTACCAGCTCACTTGAATCCAAACACAAAACATAAACTCTCACCTTAGTACCTTTGATTTTTCCCTTCTCCCCACTCAGAAGTTCTTTGCTTTCTTCTTTGCCCACCTGAATCCTTTCAGGAATAACGTGAAACTCACCTCCTAAGAGATATCCAGGCCCAGCCATGAGGACACCACAAGCACCTAGGTTTCTAATACTCAGCACTTAGCAGGTACTATCCCTGGAGTTCAAAATATTTTTCTATGTGAATCTTCTTTATTCCAACTGAACTAAAATCTTTCTACACTGTTGTGACTCCCCTGCAGAATCCTGAACACATACTAAGTAACAGCAAGTGTTATTACTAATAACCTATTGGTTGATGGATACCTAGGAGAAGGTCCAAACAGGGATCTAGATGTGAAACAAACGTAGAAATACAGGTGAGTATACAATTTTTTGCACCTTACATAAGAGTCTCCAGTGCTTCCATAATCCAATAATTCATTTACCCCAAACATATTTACTAAGAATCTCCCATGCTTAAGACACTATTCCGGAATCCAGGGGCATGGAGATGGGAAATGGACAGAGGTCCGGGTCTCTGGCAGCACTTTCGTCTCACAGATATGATAGACTTCCATGTTGTCCCTCAACTCAAACTTTTTAGTAATAAGTCTTAGAAGGCTTCAGTGGTAGAAGTTCCACCATCAGCACCCCTCATTCCCAAAACTGACCATGTATCCACTTCTCCCAAATAGCCCGTGGAGCTATTAAATTAAATATAATAGTAATTCAAAATAGGTTAACAGATTAATATCCAAATATCTACTGGCACAAGAAAAAGGTTAGTCTAAGAGAAACATTTTCCAGAAAATATATTCTGGCCAAATAAATAGACTCTCTAGTTCCAATGTGGACATATGTTTGTAAATGACCACATAGATATCCTTCTTCAGTACAAGTTGACTGTTGCCCTCTATTAGCATTGGCAAGTGACATATTAAGGATGAACTCAGCCAACGCCTCTGTCTTTTGGGACCCTCACAGCACAAATACATACACACACACACAAACACACACACACGTGCGTGCACACACACACACACGTTCTCCTAATTAAATGGGGCTGGAACTTAAATAATGTCACCTACTTTAGTGACAAACAGGTTCACGAGCAAGTGGGGGAAGTAAATAAACCAAACGGTTTGCAGAGGGAGAGGTCAACTTGGGCTGAACTGGGCTGGGACCAGAGTGATTCAGGCTTTGCCACAGAATGGGTGTCTCCTGGGATGGCCTGGTAGGATAATTAAAACCCCTATAAATAGGATGAGTTTTCAGGTCTCCAGTATCTTCTCTGACTCCTGAATCTTCTGCTCCTTCCTCCACAAGCAGGTAAGACATGCATGGGGGAGCAATGGTAGTATCTACAGGGCTCTCGAGAGTCACATAATACACTAGGCTGGGGAGGTCTGAGACTAATTCCTGTGGCTAATAGACTTGGATACCATCTGCTTCCTTTTTCTGGCTCTATCTGAGAATACGATGATAGCTGGGGTTGACTACTTCTTTGCCTGTGAAATGCAAGTGCCTTCGCTTCAATGTGTCCCAGGTATCTCAAAACTGAGGGCTACAACTATTGATGAATAGCTTAGTTTTCGCAGTGGAGCGTTTACTTTTTGTGCAAGTTAGGAAAGGTCTAATAGTTTAGGGCCAAGGCCCTGGACCATGGGCCCAGGATTGCTCAAGTCTCATTGCGATGAATTGTAGCAACAAATTCAGCTTGTCCCATGTGATCTATTATTCATCACTTATTCTTACAGACATCACTGTATGCTTTTGGCAGTTCAATGTGCTCTGCAGATAGGGCTTCAGTTTGGAGGCCCATAAACCCACTAACTGGATTTTTCATGCCACAAGAAAAAAATGTAATTAAGAGCCAGATCCCAAAAGATCCACCTCTCTCAGCATGGCCAATGTGGACTTAACTGATTATATATACCTCCTATAATCTGTCCCCTTAATTTGACTATGTATCCACTTGCTATTTTTATCTGTAACAGCTTTTATAGTCATATTTTCATTTTATAAGCATGTCCCAAAATCATCCAGGCCAGAGGTATTTGCTGGAATTTAGCCTCCCAGAAAGCTTTCTTAGACCATGGAGAGAGGCTTTCATCCTTCTTCCTTGCTTGAGGAAGGCTTGTGACAAGGCTGAAAGCTGTTCAGTGGGATCTATTTAGTGCCCGCTTCAGTTTGCTAGTTGTTATTCGAAAATTATGGCCTACTACGCTGGCTTCCGGCCCTGCCTCTTTTGAGCTTCCTGTCCTCCCTTCTTTTTATTTTAATGTGAGAGTTTCAATCAGGAAAGTCCTAACTGGAGTAGAGGATGGGATAAGTAAAATACCCACCATGCATTCTTTGATTTTTAGGAAATTGCCTCTTTTTATAGCAGGGGAACTAAGTTTGCAGCATCTCCCACCGTAGCAATGGTATTTGGTCCCTGACTGTAAGTCAGGGCAAGGAAGAGTTCTCTCACTTCTTAAACCTTTTTCCAGATTCAGAGGGGTCACTTTCCCTCTGGTAATTCTGTCTCTTGGTCATTATCCTAGGGCAGGAGAAATCTTGTTTCTTCTTTTAGGTTCACCTGTATTTGTCAAAATGGCTCAACTCCTGAATAGCATACTCAATGTGGTAGAGGTGTTCTACAAATATGCCAAAGAGAATGGGGACTGTGCCTTATTATGCAAGGAGGAGTTGAAGCAACTGCTCTTCGCTGAGTTTGGAGACATCCTTCAGGTAAGATACACAGACACATAGCCCCATGGAATCATGTGTGAATGACTCTGACACCTGAACCAGGATTGGATGCTTTGCTTTATTTGGTCATGCTTCACCCTGCAACAAAAAAAGTTTTCAGGCAGCTTCTTAGTAACTCTCTCCCAGTGTATATGCCGTAGGCACAAGGGAAACAACCATGAATAAAGTCAGCTTCCTCTCCTTTTAGGATCTCACAGGCAGTGAGAAAAAAAAAAGTAGGTAAACAACTAGAATAAAGCCTGGGATGGAATGGGATAACTCTGAAATGAATCAAATTAATTCCTAATGGAGCTGATTTTAAGTAACTGTTTCTACTCCCTATAGTCATGCTCCCATTGATCCAGCATGGTTCTGAGAGCCAGCTGATTAAAGACTAGCGCCAAGTCCATGCCACTTCAGATTAATGGTTTCTCAACCTAGGGAGGTACATGCAGCATCGAATGGATTGGGTCATGAACACTGATACACATCTTAGTATACACCGGACAGCATCTGATTTTGCTCTCTGTTTTCTCTTCTCACAGAGACCAAATGACCCAGAGACTGTGGAAACCATCTTGGACCTCTTAGATCGAGACCGGGATGGACATGTTGATTTTCATGAGTACCTCTTGTTGGTGTTCCAGTTAGTCCAAGCCTGCCATCGTAAGCTAGACAATAAGTCACGTGGAGGTAGGACCTCCCAGCAAGAAAGGGGGCAGGAGGGAGCACGAGACCATAAGTTCCCAGGTAACACAGGTAGACAGCACAGACAGAGGCACGAGGAAGAAAGGCAGAACTTCCACCACAGTCAGTCTGAGAGACAAGATAGGGATTCTCACTATGGTCAGCCTGAGAGACAAGACAGAGAATCACAGCACGGTCAGCCCGAGAGACAAGACAGAGATTCCCACCATGGTCAGCCTGAGAGACAAGACAGAGAATCACACCACAGTCAGTCTGAGAGACAAGACAAGGATTGCAGCCTTGATCACTCAGAAAGACAAAGTCAAGATTCCAGCTCTGGTGAAAGCCTGAGTCACAAATCTAGCAGTGGCCAGGCTAAATGGCAGGGACATATCTTTGCCTTAAATCAGTATGAAAAACCAGTTCAGGAGTCTCATTATGGTCAATCTGAAAGGCTTGCACAACAATCTGAAACACTTGGACAAGACTCTCGCTTTAACCAGACAAATCAACAAAAATCAAGCTCTTATTATAGACAGTCTGGGAGACTAGGTCAGGAGTCAGGCTGTAGTCAGACAGACAGGCAAGGCCAGAGTTCCCACTACGGTCAGACAGACAGACAAGGCCAGAGTTCCCACTATGGGCAGACAGACAGACAAGGCCAGAATTATCATTATGGTCAGGCAGACAGACAGGACCAGAATTCCCACTATGGTTATTCAGACATACAAGGCTGGAGTTCCCACTATGATCAGATGGACAGACAAGGCCAGAGTTATCATTATGGTCAGGCAGACAGACAAGGCCAGAGTTCCCACTATGGCCAGAAAGACAGACAAGGCCAGAGTTCCCACTATGGTCAGACAGACAGACAAGGCCAGAGTTCCCACTATGGCCAGAAAGACAGACAAGGCCAGAGTTATCATTATGACCAGACAGACAGACAAGGCCAGAGTTCCCACTATGGTCAGACGGACAGACAAGGCCAGAGTTCCCACTATGGTCAGATGAACAGACAAGGTCAGAGTTCCCACTATGGTCAGAAAGACAGAAAAGGCCAGAGTTATCATTATGATCAGACAGACAGACAAGGCCAGAATTCCCACTATGGTCAGATAGACAGACAAGGCCAGAGTTCCCACTATGGTCAGACAGACAGAAAAGGCCAGAGTTATCATTATGATCAGACAGACAGACAAGGCCAGAGTTCCCAGTATGGTCAATCACAGATGGGGGAAGTACAAGATCAAAATAAGTACTTCCAAGGGACTGAAGGAACAAGACAAGCCTCTTATGCTGAGCAATCAGGAAGATCAGGGAGGCTAAGTCAACAGACTCTAGGACAGGAAGTGTACCAAAAGCAGGGACAGGGATTCCAGTCTAGGGACTCACAGCAGATTGGCCGCCAGGTATGGGAGCCTGAAGAGGACAGTCAACACCACCAACACAAACTCTTAGCACACATCCAACTTTGTCATGAAAGATCACTTTGTCATAGAGGGAGAGACCGGCAATCATGTAGTAGTGAGCAGGGCCACAGACAGGCCCAGACCAGGCAGAGTCATGGTGAGGGGAAGAGCCACTGGGCAGAGAAAGAGCAGGGTCCTCAAAACTGGGATATGCACAGCCATGAGGGTCAGGAAGGTCCATGTGGAACACAGGACAGGCGAACCTATGAAGAGCAGAACCGTCAGAGGAGAGACAGGCAAACCCATGAAGACGAGCAGAACCGTCAGAGACGAGACAGGCAAACCCATGAAGATGAGCAGAACCGTCAGAGGAGAGACAGGCAAACCCACGAAGATGAGCAGAACCGTCAGAGACAAGACAGGCAAACCCACGAAGATGAGCAGAACCGTCAGAGACAAGACAGGCAAACCCACGAAGATGAGCAGAACCATCAGAGGAGAGACAGGCAAACCCACGAAGATGAGCAGAACCATCAGAGACAAGACAGGCAAACCCACGGAGATGAGCAGAACCGTCAGGGGAGAGACAGGCAAACCCACGGAGATGAGCAGAACCGTCAGGGGAGAGACAGGCAAACCCACGAAGATGAGCAGAACCGTCAGGGGAGAGACAGGCAAACCCACGAAGATGAGCAGAACCGTCAGAGGAGAGACAGGCAAACCCAGGAAGAAGATCAAAACCATCAGCAACAACAGAATAGACAAAACTATGAGAAGAAAGAGAGCTATCAAGGATCTCAGAATCAAAAATCTCAAGTGACCCAGAGAAGCTGTCCTAACAGAGAAAAATTCTACATGAATGAAGACGACCAGAGCCAGGGCTTACAGGGAAGATACACTGAGCCATCCGTCTATCCAACCCAGAGCAGTGGGAAGCCCCAAAGCAGAGAACACCGTGGTCACCCTTCCAAGGCAGCTACTGCTCCCAACCCTCTCTATGACTATGTGCAAGAGCAGAAATCCTATCGGTACTAGTCTATGTGAGCACCAGAGATAAAGCAACACAAACCAAAGAAGAAACCTCTATGTTGAGTTCATCTTTAATTCTATTTAAGAGGTTGAGAATGTATTTCTTCCCTCTATTCTCTCCTATATATACCCGCAAGGATGTTTTTTAGGACTAGTACTCACTTGAGGGCTTTTCAGTTATTTGGGCAGCAATTCTAGGGTTTTCTGATTCAGCAAAATCTAGGTGGTAAATTGGGTGAATAACCATTATCTTAATGATGATCATTTGGGTATTTAAATAATGTCCTGGTTTGCCCTCTGTGTAGATGAGACCTGACTGAATCATTGAAAGGCAGAACACTTCTCCCTGAAGTTCAGTAACAGAAAAGATATTCTGAAGATTTACATTACAACTGAGGAGAGGAGACCTAGGTTTTAGTGAGCTTTGGCTCCTGTGGATAAAATATAAGGAATTTCAAGCTTCATAGTCTAGACTAGAATGAAACTCAGCGCGAGGCTGCTAGGAGAGCCAGAAACACAGAGTGCATCGCTGATCTTGACTACATCTCCCATTCCAAGCTGTCATTCCATACCAGAAGGACTGTCCTTTAGTGCCTACCTCTAGAGCTGACTAGACCCATTCCAACTCAATGCCTTTATAGTTTCTGACTATATAAAATAGAAGGAATATGTCATATGTTTGCAAATTCCAGGGCATCAAAATTGTCAATCCATAGCTCCTAAGACCTGAAAACTCTTTCAAGATAATCTATGTGCAGACTACGGAATTGTATTTAAATATCCAATAAATAATTGATGAGCAATGACTTTGATGGCTCCTTTCTTTCTGCACTGTGGGGCTGTGCTATTTTCACTTTTAAGCCATTTTCCAAAACTAAGACCTCATTTCTTGACTTCTAAAATGTCTTTGTTCCCTGAGTTCCTGGGCACTGAAAAAAAAATAAGAATCAGTACAGAACAAATAACAAAGAGTCAAAATGAAACTTACTTAAATACAATTTTTAGCTCCTTCTCCCCCTACTGAGTCACATTTTATCTTTACCACTCACTCATTACCACATTCAAATTGTCATTGAGTCTTCCCAACTCTACAACCCCATAACTTTTGAGTCTCTTCTCATGTCTCCATCTCCACTGCCTTAATGGCCCTTCTCCTCAGTGGCTCCCAGTGACTTGAGGAAAAAAATTCACATTCCTCATTGTGGCACATAGACCTCACTATCTGATCAGATGACCTACCCAGCCTAGTCTCATGAAAGTCCCCTTCCAGGAGCATCCAATGCTCCAGCCACACCAAGGACTTAGCCTTTTCTTAGTACACTTGCTCTTTCATGAATTCATACCTTTGAATATACCATCTCATCAGCATGGATTGCCTCCTTGCTATTTTCTGCCCAGCAAAAACCTAGGCATCCTTTGGGTCCCAACTAAAACATCCCCTATTCTAAGCAGACTTTCTGGACACTCCAAACTCTGCTTTCTCTAAGTTCACACTCACTTCTGTTATATCATTTGGCCCACACTCTATGGTAATTATCTCTCCTGCAAAACTGGGAATAAGACCATGTCTTATTCAACCTTGTACTGCTCAGCACTTACTATAGTCAGTGATGTCTAGTGGTACTCATTGCTTTTGAATAAGTGGACAGATGGAAGAAATAAGTCTGACTTTGGAACAAATTCAACTGGACATTAATTGGGCATCTACTGTATATAAACCACAGGGACAAACAAGAGAGACTGAATGAACTCCTTGTTTAGTTATGGCTCAGTGAATGAAACAGTAACCTTTTTAGGTCTTTTAAACAATAAGGGATTTGCTACCTAGAACAATAAGAGTTGAATTATTAGAAATTAGACATCAACCCCTGGGAGTATTGAGTTCAATACATCACCAGAGTTGCAATCCAAAAATCAGGAATGTGTGATTCAGAAGCTTCTGGCATTGCCGCCAAAATTGCCTATCAACATGTCTCTATAACATCATTTCTCAAAAAAAAAAAAAAAAAAAAAAAGGCCAAAATCTCTGTATGATGGTCTCTAACTCACTTTCACCTTCCAAATGTCATGCAAATATGCCTAATTGAATAAACGTTAATTCACATCTAGAACGCTAGCTGCAAAGAAGTCTAGGAAATATAGCAGGAGACAGGAATGGATGCTGAGGGCCATTGGATTGTATTTACTATAGGAAGAATATAATAACTCATAACAATAGCTGCTTTCCTGAAGGAAATAAAACTATAGTAAGACAAATATATAGAGCAAACAACCATTATGCAAAACACAATGTCATAAGTATAAGAAAATCACTGTTATGACACCAAGAAGGGAATAAGTAGCTATACCTAGAAGAACTGAGAAAGTCTTTCACAGAGTAAAGGCATCTAAGCTAGGACTGTGATCCTGGGGGAGCGAGAAATGCAAAGGGCATGGCTTGTCCTGGGCCTCAAGATCAATGAGAACACCCATATGTTGGCTTCCATTTAAATGACATATTTGTTCATGTGTAAGATGAGTCTCCTTCACAGATCTTCTCTATAACTTAGACTCTCCCTAGCAAACTAAATCAGAAGGTGGAGAATAAGAGTGAAAGAACTCAAAATCTGGAAACTGCTTAACATTCAGTGTACCATCTACATGCCAGTCCTTTTTTTCTATCTAAAAATACAAAATATCCCAAATTCACGATTCTTTTCATCTCTACTCCTATCATTCCAGTCCAGGCCACCACCTCTCCTAGAATACAGCTTCCTGAAGGGACTCCCCATCCCTTTTAAAAAGGTAGACAACGTTGTGCCGCTCCCTACTTGAAATTCCCAGTAGTTTCTCTCCATACTGAGAATAAAATCTAACTTCATTGTGAGGGCCTTCCTATAGGATAAGGCCCTGAAAAGCCTCATCTTTCACCATTCTCCTCCGCATCACTGTTTTCTAATCACTCTGGCCTTCTTTCCATGATTCTAGCAGGACAAGCTGATCCCTACCTGGAAACCTTTGAACCAGCTATGTATTTTTTGATCATAATAGTCTTTTTCTCAATCTTGGTATGGCCCGATCCTTATTTCATTCAGGTCTCAGTTTAAAAGTTGCCTCGTGAGAGAAGATTTCTCTGGCATTTACTCTAGAGTATCCCCCCAATCACTCTCTATCACATACTCCTCACTTGTGTTGCCAATGTTCTTAACACTTTTCATATTTGATACCTTGTTTTTACATTGCTCATTTATTGTCTTTTTCTCCCTACTATAATGTAAGGCCCTAAGAACAAGGATTTGGTTTGTCCTGTTTGCTGCTGTACTCTCTGTATTTCAGACAGTAGCTCATCATGATGTATGTCCAATAAATAAGTGTTGGTTGAATGCTCATAGAAGCCCTCCATGATCTGGCTTCAATGTACATTTCCAACTCAGTTTCCAACAATGCCCCTAGACTCCAACTTTACTGGACAACTTCCTAGCCTCCATGTCATTGCTTATACAATTTCTTCTACTTTTAAATGCTGTCCTGATACTTGCCTGACAAAATCCTACCTGATCTTGGGATTGACATCACCTTCTGAACCTATCATCAGCATAGAGCTTATCACATTGCATTAAAATAAATTTTAAACCCATCTGTTTTCCATCCAGCAGTAAGGTCCTAGAAGACAGAAATTACATCTTATTTACAGTTGTATATTTCACATCAAGCACAGTGACTGACCAATTATATAGAGTTGTGATTTAAATTTTTAAAAAGACTTATTGAGACCCAGCTTCACCACCTACCAATTTTATGATTTTAAAAAAAAATGTCTCTTTAAGTCTCAGTTTTCTCATCTGTAAAATGAGGTTAAAAATTCTAGTTTATAAAAACAAAAATTATCAAGTGTAACCTAATCAAGTTAAAAAGCTTCTACACAGCAAAAGAAGCTGTCAACAGAGTAAATGGACAACCTACAGAATGGAAAAAATGTTAACAAACTGTTTACCCAACAAAGGTCAAATATTCAATATCTATAAGGAACTTAACAAGCAAAAAACAAATAACCCCATTAAAAAATGGGCAAAGGACATGAGCAAACACTTTTCAAAATAAGACATATAAGCAGCCAGCCAACAAATATGAAAAAATGCTCATCATCATTAACCATCAGAGAAATGCAAATCAAAACCACAATAAGATACAATCTCACACCAGTCAGAATGGCTATTATTTAAAAGTCATCAAATAACTGATGCTGGCAAGGCTGTAGAGAAAAGGAAACACTTATACACTGTTGTTGGAATGTACATTAATTCAACAACCATGGAAAGCAGTTTGAAGATTTCTCAAGGAACTTAAAACAGAGCTATATGCCATTACTGGGTACACAGCCAAAAGAAAATAAATTATTCTATCAAAAAAGACACATGCCGGTGCGTCACGCCTATAATCCCAGCACTTTGGGAGGCAGAAGAGGGTAGATCACGAGGTCAAGAGATCTAGACCATCTTGGTCAACATTGTGAAACCCCGTCTCTACTAAAAAATACAAAAATTAGCTTGGCATGGTGGCACATGCCTGTAGTCCCAGCTACTCGGGAGGCTGAGGTAGGAGAATTGCTTGAACCCAGGAGGTGGAGGTTGTGGTGAGCAGAGATTGCACCATTACACTCCAGCCTGGGTAACAAAAGCAAAGCTCCGACTCAAAAAAAAAAAAAAAAAAAAAGACACATGCACTTGTATGTTTATTGCAGCACTATTCACAATAGCAAAGGCATAGAGTCAACCTAGATCCCTATCAGTGGTGGATTGGATAAACAAAACGTAGTACAGATACACCATAGAATACCATACAGCCATAAAAACGAACAAAATTATGTCCTTTACAGCATATGGATGCAGCTAGAGGCCATTATTCTAAGCAAATTCATGCAGGAACAAGAAACCAAATACCACATGTTCTCACTTATAAGTGGGAGCTAAACACTGAGTACGCATGGACCTAAAGATGGGAACTATACACACTAGGGACCGCTAGAGGGCGAAAGGAGGGAAATGAGTGTGGATTGAAAAACTTCCCATTGGTTACTAAGCTCAACCCCTGGGTGATGGGATTCATACCCCAAACCTCAGTGTCACGCAATATACCTACATAACAAACCCACACGTGTACCTGCTAAAGCTAAAATAAAAGCTGAAGAAAAAATTCCAAAGTTTCCTAAAGATAAATACAGATGATATACGTAAAAGCAATTTATAATCTGAACTCTTCTTGCTCATTTACTTGGTATTTATCTTTTCTTCTTCTACATTATTTTAATAGAAGCTTAAGAAATAAATTTTGATATGATTTGGGTGTGTGTCTCTTCCAAATCTCATGTTTAAGTGTGATCCCCAATGTTGGAGGTGGGGCCTGGTGGGAGGTATTTGGCTCATGGGAGCAGATTCTTCATGAATGGCTTGGTGCTGTCCTTGTGGTAATGAGTGAGTTCTCACTCCATGAGTTCATGTGAGATCTGGTTGTTTAAGAGAGCCTGGCACCTCTTCCTTCTCTCTTTTGCTCCCTCTCCTGACCATGTGGCATGCCTGTTCGCCCTTCACTTTCCACCGTGACTGAAAGCCTCCTGATGCTTTCACCAGAAGTAGATGCTGGCCTCACACTTTCTATAAAATCTGAAGAGCTATGATCCAAAATAGACCTCTTTTCTTTATAAATTACTGAGTCTCATTTATTTCTTATAAAAATGCAAAATGTACTAATATAGAAAATTGGTACTGAGAGTGGGGTGTTGCTATAAAGATACTTGAAGATGTGGAAACACCTTTGGACC